AGATAGATAGATAGATAGATAGATAGATAGATAGATAGATAGATAGATAGATAGATGATATAGGTGTAGTGATAGATAGATAGATAATAGATAGATGATAGAGGTATAGAGATAGATAGATAGATAGACAGACAGACAGACAGACAGATAGATAAATAGAGGGAGTGGGAGAGAGAGAGAGAGAGAGATGATAGAGGTATAGATAGATAGATAGATGATAGAGGTGTAGAGATAGATAAATAGATAGATAGATAGATAGATAGATAGATAGATATATGGATGAAAAGAGAGGGGCTTTTTTTTCAGCTTTAGCAATGCTTTATGTCCCTTTGCATTTGGGGGCTCCTTCTGGGCATCTTCCCCTTTTGGGGGTGGGGGGCTGGGAGCTCCCCTCCTGAAGGCCAGGACGAAGAATGCCCCCTTTCCCCATTCATACCCTCAACGGCCTGTAAAAAAAGGCATTTCCCAGTCTTTCTCCTGAAGGGGAACTGGGTGACCTCTAAACTCACTTTTAGAGATTTTTTTTAAGAACCCCCCATCCCCAGGAAACCCCCACCCCCGTTCCTTTCTGGGAAGACTTGCCCCCCCCCCCACAGCTTAATTGGCATGGGGGGAGGGAGTCTTTTTTGTCATTCTTCTCCTCTTATAAAAGGGTCTCTCCACCCCCCCACCCCCCCATTTTGCCCTCCCCTTGGGACTAACTGAGCCCTTGTGGGGTTTTTTTTGGGGGGGGTCTCCCTTCCCACTCTCTGTTTCTCTCTCTCTCCCCCCTCCCATTCAAGGAATGGGCTGGGTGACCCTAAAAGGTGGAGAAACCCCCCTCCCCCAGGGCAGAGGATAAGAAAGGGGGGGATATCAAAAGCTGCCCCCCCCTTATTTAGACTTCCCTAAAAGGGGGGGAGGGAGATACCCTTCCCAAGCCAGCACCCCCTCTCCCCAATTCTACAGACCCCATTGGGGAAGGGGCTGCCTGCCCCCCTTCCTGAGCCCCCCCTTCCCTTGAGGAGGGGGGGATGAGAAGGGGGGATGAGGAGGGGTCTTCCTCCCCCCCACCCCGCTTTTGGGACCCTCACCCCCTCCCCTTGTCCCCCCCAAATAGAAGACACCCCCCTCTTTTAAAGGGTGTGTGGGGTCTTCCGCCTGATAGAGGGCAGAAAGAGCCCCTTCTCATGTACCGGGGAGGGGGGGGAAGAGACATAAAGAAGGGGGGCAGAGGGAGAAAGTGGGGACCCCCCCCCTCTCCCCGCCTCGCCCTCCTCCCTACCTGCGCGCGCAGCCCCGGCTCGACCGGTGCGTCTATCCAGCCGGCGGACTCACATCCTTCCCGGCGGGCTTTGCGGCACCGGCGGGCGAGCGCGCGGCCCCGCCCCCAAACAACCGCCTTAAAGGGGAGGCGGAGGAAAGGAAGGGGGGGTGGGGGGGGGAAACAGAAGGCGCGTCGGAGGACAAATAACCCTCCTCGGCGGCCCCTCCCGCGCCGCTTCTCTTAAAGGGGAAGGCGCCTACCTGACGAGCCTTCCCGTTTGGATGGGGGAAGATGCTCCAGCTTGCAAATTACTAAGATAATAAATATAACAAGATATTTTAATAGAATGTATTTTAATATAAATTAATATAAATAGAAAGTGTAACATATACTGATTAATATTTAATATTAATTTGTACTTTGCTCATTTGATTCTTTTTGTTAGTTCTTATTGTTTTTATTTTTATTTTTTTGTTTTAAATATGATTTTACATTGTGTAAGCCGCCTTGAGTTGCCATGGGCGAATAGGTGGCAATATAAATCAAATAAATAAATAAACAAATAAATAAATGAAATATATTAATATAAATTAACATAATACAAAAGTATAAAAATTTATATATATTTATACAAACACACACACACACACATATATATATATAAACTTAAGAAAACATATATGTATGTATGTATGTATGTATATATATGTATGTATGTGTGTGTGTGTGTGTGTGTGTGTATGGCATTCAGCTTTGTTCGGGTATTTTCCCACTCATTGTAGTTGTGCTTTTGTGCTTAAAAGCACAACTACAATGACGTGGGAAAATACCCGAACAACGCTGAATGCCATACATGTAAGTACCCGCGAGAACTTGAATGTATGTATGTATGTATGTATGTATGTATGTATGTATATAGATATATATATATTTTCTGAGGTTCTCGCGGGTATTTGTATGTGGATCTTTGGTTGTTCGGGTTTTCTCCCGCGTAAGATTGGCAGTATCTAGGCGACGTTTCGATGAAGTCTCATTAATCATCTTCAGGCTTGTGTCTTCGGCTCTGTGCTTCTCAGAGTGAAGCACAGAGAAGCACAGCATTTCACTCTGAGAAGCACAGAGCCGATATGAGGGGGTGTTGCTGCAGAAGCCCCCCACTTATTCCTGGTTGGATGTTGCATGGCAAAATATAGAGAGGGGGGGAAACGCCACGTTGGAGGCCTCCCTGTATCAACTATTTGACGTGGGAGCTGAGTGTTTCTCTCCTCTGCTATTTTGGGGTTCTGGAAAAAACGGGGGGGTGACTCTTCCTCATGTGATTTCTAGTTTCTCTACCGCCACATTTTGACACCCAAATCTCGGCTGACAGCTTTTCTTGCATTCTTCCTCCTTTTTGGATAGTTAACAATTGGCCTCCATTAAATCAATCAATCAATCAAAACTCACCTCAATCAAATCAATCATAACCCATGTCAATCAATCAATCAATTTTATCACAACCTGACTTAATCAATCACAGCCCACAAAATTAATTCAATTCAATCCAATCACAACCCACCTCAAATCAATCATAGCCCATGTCAATCAATCAATCACAACCCACT